TCTTACATGAATCTAATCTGCCCACACAACTTCACTTACTACAACTATGATAAACTTTGTCTTCTTGTAGCAAAAAACACAACTTTTGGTTGAGTGGGACATGCATACTTAAAAGTAATCTATTCATAGCCGTCTGCTCCTTTCAAAACTAAGATATTGATTCTTTTCCTGTAAAAATTGCTAAAAATGAAATGATTAGCTTTAAGTTTAGACCAACTCTGCCCTTTCACATGAGCTGGTAGAAAGGAACAGGGCGTTAAAAAGTGCAACATATCACTAAACTGCATTTCCCAAAAACCCCATTGCTTCCTGTTGTGAAGAGGAGTTGTTACTTGTCTGAACAACCCTTGATAACAGCAAAATACCTCTGCAGATGAGGCAATGTGCAAGTTGAAACCATGCACTTAGCTGAGGAACTGGAAAACAATGTTATCTTTGCATAACATTTAAATACAGCCTCTTCCTCGCTGCAACTGCTGTTGGGCTTAGTGAGCCACTACTAATCATTTATGTTTTAATTATAAATTTTAGTTTTACTACAGCTCACTGAGACATTATGACAGCCAGCTCTTTCAACATCAAGTTAGGTTTCATCCTAACAAAGAGAATGTCTCCTCTGGGTAGTACACAAAAACCACGCGAGAAAGTCGACGTCTGGGATTTAAAAGACAGATTCTGATCTTTATTTTTATAATCTGATATTCTGATCTCGTCTGATATGCTTTTTTTTTCTTTTTCAGAAACATACAACTAAATAAAGATATGTAGTTATGAGACCTCACCAAGATAACATACATAATGCAGTTTAAAAATGCACCTTACTATATTGTTATAAATAGCACTGCTGATCGCTGTAGTTTTGTGCATTAAACCATAGACTGTATATAAAAAACCTGTGTGTTGCCAACAGGGAGTTGCAGAGTGCTGGTGGACAAATTATTCAGCGACATCACTCAAACATGATTGTCGTCTTGATCGTCTCTCCGTTTCTTTTTTAATTGTCATTTATCGGCTGTTAAACACCGATACGTTTTTATCTGCTGGTAGCTCATAAAATATCGGCTCTGGTGATGGGAATTATGGCTCTTAGAAGGGAGCAGGAACTTAGAGAGACGGCTCTTTGGGTTATAATTGCACAAAATAAATAGCTAAGATTCTTCATCTGCAAAGCATTAAAATATTATCATATTGATGGTTAACAGTGTGATATGTCAAGAATAACTATCTTAGTTGTTTGTAACAGAAACAATGGTTAATAATAATTTAAAAACTCTATACAGAAACATACTGTATATTTAAATTAGTATGAGTAATTAGTTTAAGTGTAATTTGCTCATGTCATGCTTTCCGCCAGGGTGAAATTGGGTCTCCATCATTCACTTGGATGGGCAGCTCATAGAGCCCACTCATTTGGGACGGACACTTCACTAATCATTACGCCGTTTTTCGGTTCGTCTCTGCTGTCTCTGCTAGAGTAGCATGTGTTGGGTTACTTTTCTAAGGAAATAGACTCTTGAAGGGCTACACAACGCAGATGCCCGGATAAGACGCGTATCAACCCCCCACGTGCCAAACCACCAAGAACAGATTTACTGTCAATACATTTATCATTCTTCAACTGCATTATCCTCGACTCTGTACTTGCAGCTGCAGCAAGCCTCTGCTCTCGCTGTCACAGCCATTAGTGCAGTGATCCATCTGAGCAGTGAGCTGTATACAACTGCAGGCTGGCTGGTGGCCATTTGGGAGAGATTCAAGGTGACTTCACACGAGTTCTGCCCACTACAAAATGTAGAGGCCGGATAACTCAGAGGTGAGATCCCAGACCTCTGGACCAGTGTGTTTGTGTCCTCTCCTTCTCTCCTTCGTGTCTTCATCAGCTCTACAACAATTAAAAATCCCCCAAAAGAACCAATAAAAGACGCAAAAGGGTTTGATTTCTGTTCTCAGTTCTTTCTTACCACAGGCATCTAACTAATTCATCGGGTTTGTGTCTTCAGTTTTTGCAACGTGCGGTGGAAAGATTCATCCAAATCCTATCCTTTGGTGTTTTGAGGGAGCAATGAGCAGAGGAAAACAGAAGATATGTGAGGTGTGAGTCTTCTTGTCCTTTTGCCCAGTCCTCACTTCCTCAGTGGGTTATCTGAGGGTTTAGACTTGATTTTAAGGTCAAGACTAGAGTTGTGTTTAGATTAAGTGTAGGCATGTAGCGCTGCAACGATTAATCGAATCATCGATAAGTTGTCAACGATTAATTGGTTTGAGTCATTTTTTTAGAGAAATTCTCTGATTCCAGCTTCTTAAATGTGAATATTTTCTGGTTTCTTTAGTCCTCTATGACAGTAAAGTGGATCTCTTTGGGTTGTGGACAAAACAAGACATTTGACAACGTCATCTTGGGCTTTGGGAAACACTGATCGACATATTTCACAATTTTCTGACATTTTATGGACCAAATAACTGATCAATAAATCAGGAAAAGAATTGTGATTTGTGTGATAAGCATTTAGTTAATGTCCTGTCAGTTTTACGGGCTAAAGGGCATTATGGTATTAAGTATTTGTATTTTAGTTGGACTGTCTGTGGGAGTTTGTCATGGTTTAGGCCCCTTAGTTCAGATGAAGGGAAATGTTAATGCTAACAGTATCCAGTTATATTTTGGACAACGGTGTACTTCCAACTTTGTGCACTTCCAAGTTTGTTTGTGCCTTTCTTGTTTCCACATGACAAAGCCAGCTCCATAAAGAAAGTTAGTTTTTCCTAGTTTGGAGCTCCTCTACCCAGTCCAACACCTGTGGGATGGACTGTGAGCCAGGCCTTATCACCCAGCATCAGTGTTGGACCTCACTGATGCTCTTGTTGTGGTGAGACTTCCCAGAAGAGTGAAGGCTGTTATAGCTGTAGATTGATGTCCAACAATCACATAGCAGTGTAATAATAATCAGGTGTCAGTATACGTTTGCCCATATGATGTAAGTTCATAAGGGTTGTCAGAAGTCTGCAAGCTACATTCAATGGAGACACACACACACACTGCCTTGCGCAATATAAAATACTTGCATGAAAACAAACATGCAGCAGGTGAAGTATGGACACGCTGACAATGACCTGCCTGCAGGTGTGAAGCTGCAACTGTTTAATTTATTTAACCGTTTACTACTTAGGCGTGACAAACACAATTTAACACACTTACTTGGTGCCTCAGGATAGTTTGGTGCACCATCCGGGCATAGTTGTCAAGTTTAACGCCCGAGTTGCTCCTGCTTCTCATGGTGGCAAGTCAGCGGCTCAGCTCAGGTGACTTCAAGCACTTTTAAGGACACAAACTCGCTAAATCATCGACAGGAAAGTCATTTCTTCGGCGCTTCTAGTACAAAAAGTACAAAAAGCCGAAAAGGAGGACAGCGTTGGCGACCAGAAAAGCAGCTGCCTGGCTGTCTTAAACACAGCTCAAGAAGAGCGAGCGACTGTAACCTGAAGCTGCCGTGAGGAACGATACCGGAAGTGGGGAGATGTTGCCTTCAAAGTAAAAGCGTGTCCGAACAGACCGAGTTCTACACTGTTGTACTCTTTGTTTTTATTTGTCTGGGATTATGGAGGCCTAAAGTGCAGTTTAAATTTGTAATTTTAAGTTACACATTGTGTGATTTTTTTAACATGCAGTCTCCTAAAAAAAATCACGATTTATAGGCCAAGAAATGTGGCATAAATAATTTAATTCATCAATATCAAGGTGGCGATGAAATAGTTGATAAGACACATGCCTTTGGTTTGGGAGACCTGGGCAAGAACGATATGCCAACAAATTACTATTGAGATAATTTTGAGATATATTGCGACTGCAATATAAGTCACGATTTTAGTGGAATGTTAATTTCTAGATTTCATTTTACTGAATATAATATAATATAATATATAATATAAAAATGTTGACGATGTAATTTTGAGGTCTGAAATCAGAAACATGGAATACAAATGTGTTACAGGACTGTAAACATTTAGAATAATACTTTAGAAGAATGACAACAGTTGATAAATATGCACTATATCATTTACTATACTTTCACTGTATTCACTGTACGTGGTATCAACCGTTAATACGTATTTTAATTTGAAAGTTTTAACCGGAATGGCTTTTCTTTGTTGTAAATAAATTTACACCAGTGTACCCCACTGTGTGGAGTGGTTTGCACTTAAATGGTAGAGCCATGGCAGCGTTTACTAGTTGTATAAACGTAATAAACCTACCATGTAGCCCACATTGTTAACAGTTAACAGAAAAGTACATAAAACTTCTTTGTAGAAATACTTGAACAGCTTCTGTGGCAGATGCTGTGAAATTCAACCAGGAAGCAAACTGAGGCAAAACCCCGTAAACACCCACACAACAACACGTGAACCCACCCCAGTTTTATTTTAGTGCATTAACCGCTGTCACGGTTGAGCATTAAATTTGGTCACCCATAAATGAAATAGCATTTTGTGGTTGGTTCAAGTCAGCTGTTTGGGGCTCACTCCAGTGAAAAGCAGCCCCCCGTGACCTGCACACACACACACACACACACACACACACACACACACACACACACACACACACACACACACACACACACACACACACACAGACAAATGCTTAAATGGCTCCAAGCCAAACATTTTCTTCTTTAAGAGCTGTAATTTCATTATGAGTTTTTGTTTTGCCGAAATGCATTTTGTTTTGGGGCAATTTTATGGCAATGGGGTAAAAGTAAATATGGTGATATTCAGTTTAATCCACCTACAAACATTATTTCCAACCAAAATATGTTGACTAGAAATGTATCTGTTTGGGAAGTCCTGTCTTAATTCATCTAAAACGTTGGCTCAAACTTTTGAAAACTACTTTAGAGGAAGGCGGAAAAAGACTACAAGAAATCCCAGAATGCTTCCCGCTCCGCGCGCCCGTTGTACTTTAAAAAACGTCCGCCAGCGAAACGTTGGTGGAGGTTTGTGACCGTTATGAAGCAGCTCTCCGTATCACCCGCTAGCTAAATAAAACGCCGAAATGTTCTTGTTTTAAAGGAGATAAAATCACTCGACATTATGTATATTTAATTTACATCTTACCGTCGTCGTCTTCCCTCTAACTGAACGGTGAACACCGGCAGTGAACCGACGTTACCGGGGGGGAGTGTTGACGGTGTGACACCAGCCTGGAGAACAAGACGCCGATCGCATCCCTTCACTGTGAATTTGTTTTAGCTCCATTCTCCGTCTAATTATTTACGTTTTATCCATCGTAAATGAGTTGCAGAGGAGACAGCGACGATGACAGCTGCAGTAAACGGAGAGTCGCGTACGTGTACAGCCCGGAGTACATCGAGACTTGCGACAGTTTATCCAAAGTGCCAAACCGGGTGAGTTGGATTGAATGGAGATGTGTTTTTTTTTGTTCAACACATTTACGTAAAGTTACCAGGCCTTTTCTCGCGACCTCTGCTTTGTTGTTATCAATGTCGAGTCCGTGTTTTTATTTCGTGATTTCTACGGTGTTCATTTCCAGGCAAGTATGGTCCACTCCCTGATAGAAGCCTATGGACTCCTTCAAAACATGAGGTGAGTGGTGATAAACAGCTGGCGTCAGTTTTACAACATAAACAGAGACAACATGGTGATTTAATTATTTTTTTCTTTTAAACTCAGAGAGAAATTGCTTCACATACTGTACAGAAGCAGACTGCTACCTGGACTGTTACACTTAAATTCCTACTATTTCAAAACAAAACATTTCAAAATTACTTTCAATCACCTTTAGTTATTTAGAGTGCTTCTTCTTTTTTAGTCTCAGTGTTATTGATTCAATCCAAGAAAGTTTTAGGTGCTGGTAGTAGTTTTCAGGAAACTCTTATTGATCCCCAGTCTTGCTCACTAAGACAACCTCAGTCTTTTAGGATTGAAGCTCACACTGTCTCAGCTACATCCCAAACATACAACGACCTAACACCCCTCCCTTACATACAGAATGTATTTATACAACAAATATCTGCATCTCACTGTGTGTACTATGGTACACTTGTGCAATATGATATGATATGCAGTTGAAGATTATTTTGGCGTGAAATTGGTTTTATACACCAATTATCAAACTTGTTCCATATGTTTGTATATGTATGAATCCCGTACTCAGATAGTGTATATTCTCTGGAAACCTAGTGCTCTGCATATTGCACAGTATTTGTTTTATGTGTAGTGTGTAATAGTCATGCTGTACAGATTGTACTGTCTGGGTGTTTGTATTGTATACTTTCCTGCTTTGCAGGTTTTTAAATTCCACTCAGATTACATTTTTAAAATTGATTGATTTGCTTCTCACCTCCAATACAGTAAGAAGCATTTTTTAAATTTAATTTTATTAAATTGTTGCATACAAGTTTTTCTTTGCACATTGGCAAATCAGTGCTAAGCTCACAGCTTGTGATGGTGTTTTCCCAATCCTCTCAATTTCCACTCCCAGTAAATCAATGCAGTATTTTTTTGGTGATTTGTTTTATATTTGCACAGCAATTTTTGTGTGGTTGGAATGTGTGGTGCCAATATTTTCTGCAACTTTAGGCTGTACACTTAGTCATTTCTGATCTGAAAGCGACTCTGTTTGAATCATCTGTAGTGGTGTGCGGGTTACTGTGGTTTTATTCTCATACAGTATTTTACAGCAGCATGGGTTGCTCTGCCACTGCTTAAGCTGATAATACACAGAGCAACTTTTAGAGCAATCGCGCTGGGCAACGTTGCCGTAAATGGTAATGAGTAAAGATCACTACCGTAATCCGCTCCCCCCCCCGCCGCTATCTGTTCAAAACATAGTCGGACTTGCCACTAACAACATTGCCCAGCAACATTGCTCAAGAAGTTGCCCGTGTATCATCAGCTTTATACAACAAGTTATTGTGCAAGCAGCATGTACCATTAACGTTTTTATCCCTTTCCAGCACAATTAAACCTCAACTGGCCACCATCGAGGAAATGGCCAAGTTCCACACTGACTCATACCTGGAGCATCTTCACAAGATCAGCCAAGATGGCGACAACGACGACCCCCAGTCGGTCGACTACGGCCTTGGTGAGAAAAGCCAAGAATGAATGTGTAAAACTTTTTAAATAGAATCTGTTAATTCTATCCATCTGCAGTGCTACTCTAAGAATCCAGTAGAGTGTCCAATGAAAACCTTCCTTCCTGGGTGCGTCTATTATATTCTATACTAGGAAATTGGAGCTGCAGCATAATGCAGGTTAAAAGAGAACAGTGACATTAATTCACACATTTATTATCTCCAAATAGTGGTGAGTGCTGGTCTTTTTTATTCATGACAGACAGATTTTACAGCATATATGGAAAGTTGAGGGATTAAAGCGTAAAGCAAGGCGTGGAAGACTCCTTGAGAAGTTAGATGCAGTGCTTGGTTGTTGGCAGCAGAGGGCACTACAACATAATATTCAAAAGCCTATGTTCTTAAAGTACACAGTACACTGCCAATGTTTTGGATCTACTTTAATGCATCTGTAGTTGGTTTTAAGTGGGGCACTTTATTATCTGCATAACAACATCACTTTTACTCTTTGGTTGAGAGTGTAATGCATTCATCTCAACTAAAACCTCAGCTGTCCATCTTTCTCAGAGGTTTACAACTTCAGACTAATCCTCGAGTTCACCCTCCTTGTTTTCATATCCCTGACTCATTGCTTGTCCATCTCCCTCCCTACTTTTATTCACCCTCATCCGCCTTTGTTGTTCTTAATGTACTCGACTCATCCCACTGTTACTTCCTCCTTTTGTATTCTGCACACCCCTCTCTGGCTCATCCTTCCCTCTTGTTACAAAAGCAAACTGCTCCACCTTTTCCTTGATTAAGGCATTCCTCTTTCTCTGCCGTCTCTTTATTTAGTTTAATATTTTTTAAGCCACACTCCATTGTTTTCCTTCGATCACGTCCATCCACCTCCCTCATTTCTCATTCTTCTCTCTTCGCCACCTAATTCCTGCTTGATTTATTATCATATGGGCGGCACGGTGGCGCTGTGGTTAAAACCTTGGTCGTTCCAGGCCTTTCTGTGTGGAGTTTGCATGTTCTCCCCTGTCTGCGTGAGTTCTCTCTGGGTGCTCTGGCTTCCTCCCAACATTCCCTGCAACTGTGAGTGGTTGTCTGTTAATATGTGCCCTGCAATGGACTGGCGACCTGTCCAGGGTGTATCCTCCAGCCCCCTGCAGCCCTGCACAGATAAGTGGGTGTAGAAGATGATGATGACTGACTTCCTGATTATTTTTATTCATTGTCCTTGAGTTTTCTTTAAATTATAAGCTTGCCTGATTTTTATATCATAGACTGTGTAGGTTTCAATCGAAGACAAAAACATTTCACAGAATCTAAAAAAAAAGTGCATTTGTCTCCTCTAGATTGTTTTCAACGCTTCAAATTATTTATATACTTGTTTATTTGTGTTGTGCAAGGAAACACTCAACTGTGGAAGTAATAATAAATTACATGTACTGTCATTATTGCCCATTGATCATCTAGAGTACATTATTTTATAGCAATTTTGTGTCATTGTAAATGACAATGTGGGCTCTGGTAAGTCATAATAGGTTTTGGTCATTGTGTTTGACATCTCTTTCCTACATGTGGTTCTCTCCCTCAAGGTTATGACTGTCCAGTGGTGGAGGGGATATTTGAGTACGCTGCAGCAGTAGGCGGCGCTACACTGACAGCCGCCCAGTGTCTGCTGGACCAGAAGTGTGACGTTGCCATCAACTGGGCAGGCGGTTGGCACCATGCAAAGAAGTGAGTCCACCTGTTCAGACAGAAGTACACTGTATACACACGATTCAAGTATAACTTTATTGTCCCGCAAAATGGAAAATTTAACCATTTAGCCATAAAAAAAGAAACATTTCCCATATAAAACCTACAAAGGTGTACCTGTCTACACACAGAGACACCTCAATAAAAGCAAAGATCTGCTTAAATCCTTTCAGTAAAAGCTTTCCTTATATGCCACTATTTATAAGTTTTATTGAAATTATTGACATTTATAAGTTTTATTGAAATATTTAACCTCCAACAAAAGACTCTTCTTCTCTTCCTCTCGGAATCAGTAGCTGATAGTCAATGTGCAGGACATGGGTCAGTAATAAGGGTGTGACCATAGGCTGTATAAAACAATTCAGTCCCTCCCACATATCTGTGTTGTCTGACATGTCGGGGAAAAAAACGCTTAATATTATGAGAGTAATGTCATCATTTAATGAGAATTCATAATCATTTTTAGTCTACCTGCCCTATACTGCTGTACATTACATTATTGCTCCACTGGTAGTATCCTCTTCAGACTGTCTGAAAAACAAACTAACCGACAACACTCGTCTGGACTTGCAGTGCGGCGACAAGGGGTTCACTTGATTATTATCAGCTGGGCGGAGTATTTTCAACTTTATCAGTTATGCATTTGATTTTCACTGCATGAGAAAATTGATGTGTGGCGTGACCGCGTGTGGAAAATATCAGTTGAGTGAGTCTTGTAAGATAGTTTTTAACCTGACGAGAAATCTCGTTTCATGTTAATCTCCCACCCCATGTCAGTAACTTCTCTATTTGCCTGCCTTAGCGTAGCCAGTTCATAGGTAAACTGCAATGACTGATGCTGTCCTCCAACCCCTATAATTGTCCATGCAGCCTGCATCAACCGGACCAGTCTGGACTTCAGTTGCTCGGAAAGGTTGCCACACCAAGCTGTGATCCCATATTTGACGTGGCTGCCTGATAAAAGATTAACACAAATTTCTGATCAACACCATATAGTCTATGCAGGAAGGGCATTTGTTGTTGTAATCTGTTACAAAGCCTGTTCATATGGATGTTGCAGGCTACACTGTATGCATTACCACACACAAATAAGGATTCTTGAGAATTTGGAATAAAACAGGTTTTAATTTTGAAAAGAAATAAAATGTAACATTAAGAAATCTATATTTATTTGTTTATTGTACAAGATCTCACAAATCTAGAAATATTTTGCTGCAACCTCCTGATTTTGTAATTTTTTTCATTAAATATGTGTTTTGCTTGTCTTTACTGAGTTTTTTTCAACACCGTCAGACACAAAAAATCCAGTTAATCTTATTTATTTAGTCTTACAATGATTTAGAGCTTTAAAATCATTGTATCTACACCATAGGTACATATACGTATATGTTATTAAATGTTGAATATTAACTTTTGTTCATTTTTTGTACTATTTCAAATGTGCTCTTTTAAAAAATTTCATTTCATTAGGATTAAGTATACAGAATAACAATTTGGCACAAAAAAATACATTTTTAAATTCAAAGTTACCATGAATTTAATAAATCAACTGCATTGTAACCATATACATTTAAAACAAAGAAAGATCCAACTGACGGTGGTGACACAGAGCTGATGGTGGTGGTAGTAGCCTATTAATTTTTCCTTTTCTGTTGAGTTGAATTGTATGTCAGCCCAAACTGTTTTCTCTGGTGTATTAGGAGAAATTTCTTAAGGAGAAGAATTTATATTTTTAGACATTGGGGATACATAAAGTAAGAAAAAACTGTAGAAGTACAGTATTTGTTGAAGAAACAAAAGG